TAAACAGTACAATATAAGCCTTACTACATTATTTCATATCTACGGGCCTATATTCGTAATCCCTCATCCAAAACATCACATCTATGCCCGAGCGCCACTACCTGTAATACATGAAACTGAGTCGGTCAGGCTTGGGAGCCTGGTGAGCACATAGGGTTTTCAACCCACAATAAATAAATTTATTAAATTCATCAACCAACAATAACCCGATTACCCGTTCCCGTTATCCTCACATTACGTCCCTAAACACCTATCATAAGGGACCTAGACTAAGGATCATCATCGGGATGGACACCACTGCTAAGGGGGTTCCTCAGCAATAAATGTCCTAAAGGCAACCATGAGGGGGATGGAGTACACCGGTGAACACATCGTTCACAAACACCTACAGGTTGCGAGCCTGCTAGCGTTCCACTGGACTGTCTAGAAGAGTCTGTGGTCGTCATCTATACTCCGCTAGATGACTGGATCACCAACAACATCGAGGCCTCTCATCATTTTATCACACATCGTCTTATTACATCTACCCATGTTTTACCCCAACTGTTTGTAGATATAAAATACATATACAGTTTAAAACATTTAAAACATGTATAAAAATCTTTCATCAGCATAGACAGCAAGTATTCAAATAATATGCACACATAACACGTAGTTTATAATAAATACTTCATATCTATGTGTAAGATGAAAGGGACTATACACTCACCTGTTAAGCTGGTGACTCGGAACTCGGACAACGCTTCGTTATCTCAAAATAAGTTTTCCCTTGACAAAACCTAGTATCAATACCGCTAGGGTTTAGTCTAACGTTAACCGCGATTAATTAATAGTCTAGCTATTATTATTATTATATAAGTGTTAAACAACACTCTATATAACTCATAATAATAGCCCAAATAATTATTTTAAGGACCTAATAACATTACTATAATTATTTAAAAGTTATATTAAAAATTGCGTAGGCGTACCTCACTTACAACGAATTTTAAAGAAAACCGGGCTTTGCTCCGAGCAGCGTTTCCGAACCGAAAGACCCTTTTTCTTGGGACTCCGGGAGCCTCGGGGCTTCCTTTGGGTGCTAGGGATTTTTCCTAGGGTTTAGGGGGTTAAAATGGGTTAGAGAGAGAAAGTAGTGAGAGAAAGAATGAGTTTTGGTGTGATTTCCTCGACAGCCCTCGTAGGGTATTTATAGGGGTCAGCAGCTCGGATTTACGTTGCGCGTTCAGCAGCTACGCGGCGCGTAGCTTCGGATAAGCTTGCCAGCCTCGCACCAGCTGGCTCGCACCGACATCGGATGGATAAGAAGCGACGGTACGCTGGGCGTACCAACCTCGGACGCGGGGTGTAATAGCGAGGGCTACGTGGCGTGATCCGAAGCGTGTTTCTTCATCAGCGATGGGTGGCCCAGATGCTGCCACGTCACCAACTCCTCACCAGGCTTCGCAAATTCAACTACAAACTTTAAAAATTCGTAACTTTCGCGTACGAGCTCCGTTTTCGACGTTTTTTATATCCACGCGTAGGTGGGAATGTACTCTACAACTTTTGTTTAGACTCCGTTAGCTAATTTTGACTTTATTTTAAAAATTATATTTTTAACAGGCCGGGACAGGATTGGTCCGTTAAAATTTCATAACTTCTTCATCCGACGTCCGCTTTCGTCTGTCTTTTTATCAATACGCTACTATTAACGAGATCTTCAATTCTCGTTTAGGTTGTGTCGGCTAAAAACCGCTCGATCTAATATTCGAACTTCGGGTTGTACACTGTTAAGCCGAAACTTCGAAAAATCATAACTTCCTCATACGAAGTCAGATCTGGGCGTTCTTTTTATGGACGCTCTCGGTTTAACGTTTTCTATGACTTTTGTTTAGATCGCTAAGGATAAAACTCGCTCTATCGTAAATTCACTATTTACGCTTCCCGGTATCACGTCGGTTCCATCACGAAACTTCGACGGGTCATAACTTCTTCGTTATAACTCGGATTTCGGCGTTCTTTATATCCCCGGAATCCTTGTTTCGACCACTACAACTTTGTATAAAGATATCGGGCTTATCTCACACTATAATTTTGACGCTTATTTTTATTCTTTATTAATTATACATTTATAATTAAATAATAAGCACACAAATACACATAATTCACATAGTATTCAAATATTTCATCTTTATTATATCAAAAAGAGTTACAATATTTGACCTAGACTATTACATCGTCTAAAAATGTTTAGCCCTGAAACTCGGGCGTTACAAAAAAGGACAAGTGACTTTATGCAAACAAGATATCACGTCCAAACTCTTCAATTTAAAGATTCACAGCAAAAAAAGTTTGAGGAATAAATGCTTCATACCTTTTTTGAAGATCAAGAGTTGTTGGGTATAATCTTCAAACAAAAATTCTCCACTTTCTTCAAGAATAAGCCCAAAATTTGTGTCTTGTTTCCAAGGCATAAATAAAATGTCTGGAGCAAATCTTCAACATTTTTAAGACCACAAAATTAATTTTCTCTCCCTTTTTTTTCTTCATTACTTCAACAGCAAAATAAGAACATTAAGATAAAGATTTTCAGCAGAAAAATTGAACGAACATCAGCAACAAATATTTATTCTTCTAAGCACGAATCAACACCAGAAAATAGAAAACTCATCATAAAAATTTCTGGTTTGAACCCGAAATTTTTTGCAAAAATCCAAAAAATTTTCAAGATAATCACCGAACGGGAGTCGTTCCCTTGAACTAGGTGCTTGAACCTTCAAGGTACGGCTTTGATACCAATTGTTGACACCCATTTGAATGATCAGTGGACGTGGAATAAATAATATCTCGAGATTTAACGGATATAAAATGAAGAACATGAAGAACATATGATGAGAAATTTCATAGAACTAGAAAAGAGAGATAAAATATTACAATACAAGAACATGGGTGGGAGAGAAGACTCTCCCTTGGTGGGAGAGATCCCACCACTTTCTCTCTCTCTAGAAAAGCTACATTGTGCACTCTTACAATAATAAAATGACCAACTCTCTCTTTATATGGGAGAGAGAAAACACACCAACAATACAATAAAAGGGAATAAATAAATAACCTAACTATCACTCATTATTTGTAGAGCATTTCCATGCTCCAATAGGACACTTTAACTTATACATACAAGACCATCATTTTTGTGAATTACAATATCAACTTGTATTGATATAGCAATCTACTTATAATCTTGTGATTTTTCTTAATAATTATATTCATATTTCACATAAGGTGTAAACATATCGCTTTTTAACAATCTACTTTAACTTAAAAGATTTACTGGTTATTTATCACATTTTTAGATTGTTATTTCATAAATATTTGACCAATAATAAAGTATGATGCTATTTTGTACATAAAACTTGAAAATCATCAAACTTTAATAGACACGCATGTATTCTCCCCCAAATATTAAAACGATAAAATAGGGACCGTAGAAACTCACATTCGATGCGTGATTTCGATATCGGCTCGTTTTGGTGAAGCTTTTCGTGAGGAGCCGAAATCAACAATTCTTGAACTTTGAAACACTTTTGGAACTATTTTGTAACAAACTTACACTATAGGGGTTGTTTTGTAATTTCGCTAAACTATAGGCGCTATTTGGTAATTTAATTTAACGAATAAGACTATTTTGGTAAAACAAAATACCAAATGAGGGGTTGTTTTAAACAAATGGATTCAATAATTGGGTTTGGGACTGATTTTGAACAGTGGGGGTATTTTAGTCATTTCATAATTATATGACTTAGGCCTTTTAAGACCCTATTTCTTTTGTTTGATCGGGTATACGAAGGGGGTGTTTTTTGAACCATCTTTTAGCCATTATCTTTTCCAAAAAGTTAAAAATGAGGTAAAAGATGTTTGGCAAAGGGAAAAGATCTTTTAAAACCAACTTTTCACAAAGAAGGAAAAGGAGCATTTGGAAAAGTCACGTATCCGTGACTTTTTGGAACTTTTGAAGGCCTTGACACTTAAATTACTCATATACCCCCAACTACCACTACCCTAATCAATACGTTCTTCTCTTCTCGTTCTTTTCTTTTCTTCTCGTTCTTGTCCGCTCATCCTCGTTCTTCTCACTGTCGTTCATCCCGATCTCCAGTCGCCGATCCCTCCAAAGCCGTCGACGATCCTCCTCCAAGCCGACGATCTTCTCTGCCGGCGTCTCCTTTCTCCCTCTCCGACCAGGTAAGTGCAAACTCCGATTTTGGTTTTGTTTGTCTTGATTTTCGATTTTCATTAGCAAAGAAACTGTGAACCTTCGTTTTTCCTTGCAATGTATGTGGATTTGTTCCTTTGATTTCGATTTTCCTAGCATTATATGTGATTTGTTCCTTCAATTTGTTCCTTGCATGGATCGGTCCCTGTTAACAATTTAATCCAATTGTTAACAGTTAATCCAATTGTGAAATTGATGATTTATTGAATAATAATTAGTGAAATTATTGAAATATGGATGATATTGATTAAAGTGATGAAATTTTTTGTTCCCAGGGACCGATTTGTGTTGTTAACAGGTAACCATTTGTGAAAATTATTTCAATTTCTTTATTCTGGTTTGTGTTGTTTTCTTCTATTGTTGTTCTAATTTTTTTTGTTTTAATTAAACTATAGTTCATGAATCGTATGAAAGATTGATTAGCAATTGTTTAAATTGATAAAATCATTTAGGAAGGTTAATGAAATTGGTTTGTTGTTTAAATGTTGATACGAACACAGATAATGGACGAAAACCTCACCACTGTTGTTGACTGTGAAACATCTTTAAAAATGAAAAAACCAAAATTCGGATGGGATAATCGTAGCTTCATGGTGTTTGTTGACTCATGTGTAACTGAAGTAAAAAAAGGCAATAAAACCGGTACTCACTTAACTAAAGTTGGGTAAGAGAATATACAAAAAGACATGAAGGACAAAACAGGTTATATTCTTGAAAAAAACAACTAACAAACAAATGGGAGAATATGAAAAAAGAGTGGAAGCTTTATGACCGATTAATGAGGCTTGAAACCGGACTCGGTGGGACGAGAAGCCTAATAGATGCATCGCCCGAGTGGTGGGAGGAGAAAATAAAGGTATGATTTACTATTCTTTGTAATTTTTTTAAGTTATGATTGCATATATATTGAATATAGATTGAGCATATTTGATATACATTATCTTTTTGTCTTGCAGGAGAATAAAGATTATGCAAAATTTAGGAACGCAGATTTGAGCATATTTGATGAGAAATATGCTATTTTGTTTCGGGATTCCGTTGCCGTTGGAGATCAGACTATGACTCCATTACAGTTTCAAAACAATAGTAATCCAAACGGAGAAAATGTGGAGGGCAAAGGAGATAGTGATGATATCAATTTAGATGATGATGTTGAGCCTCTTTTTCCTAGTTTCCATGAAAGTAGTTCGGGTAAGAAGAAAAGGTCTAACCTTGTTTCCAACAATCGTTCAACCAAGAGTAAAAGTTCAGTTTTTGAAGAAAAAGTAGATGCTTTATTGGATGCCATATCAACAAAAAGCACACAAACTTATCCACAGAATAATCCTTCGCCAACAATAGCGGATTGCGTGGCCATTGTTACCAAGTTTCCCGATTTTCGTGAAGGGTCCAACGAATTTTCACAAGCATTGTTTGTGTTCACCAAAAAGCAAAACCGTGAAGCTTTTATGTTTCCAAAGACTGACGAAGCCAAGATGGGGTTCCTTAAGTTACTTATGAAATAATGATTTAGCAATATGTGTTATGCTTTGACATTATGTTTTATGCTTCGACAATATGTATTATGTTTAATGTTTTAACATTATGTGTTGTCCTTTGACATTATGTATTTGACATTTTATATTATGTGTTATTGTTTGTCTTTATGTTATGTGTTATTGTTTGACATATTTTTATTTGTATTATGTAGGATGGATAGTGATGACTCTAATTCTTCTAATGATAATGAAGAATGGTGGGTGGAAGAGGATAGAGAATTTAAAATGTTATGTGGATTAGCTTTAAAAGGGATAATACTAGCTCGTAACGTACGTATGCCATGTCACACTTCAGACCGCACAGGGCACATGTTTATTTATGAAGTACTAAATGGACATCCTAGACGGTGTTATGAGATGTTTAGATTGCACGTACCGGTTTTTAGACAGTTATGCGCAGATCTTGCTACAAATTACGGGCTATAACAAACACGAAATATATCTATTGAGGAATCTGTAGGAATATTCTTGATGACGTTGGCTCATGGGTGTAGCAATAGATTTGTGCAAGAGTTTTTTAATCATTCGGGGGAAACAATTCATAGGCATTTCCATACAGTTTTGGAAGCCGTGCTAAAACTGAGTGCCGACATCATCAAGCCAGACGCAAACTATAATGATGATGTTCCTGAATATATATTAAATAACCCTCGATATTATCCAGTGTTCAAGGTATTATCTAATGTTCATTTTCTTGGTAGTCAAACTTTAACAATTGATTTATTTATGATATATTTTTGTATTTGAAGGATTGCATTGGTGCTATAGATGGGACACACGTTAGGGCATCAGTTCCACAAAACGAGGAAGCGAAGTACATTGGTCGAAAGGGATATGCAACACAAAATATAATGGTTGTTTGTGATTTTAACATGTGTTTTACATTTGTATGGGCCTATTGGGAAGGGACTGCACATGACACAAGAATTTTCAATGAAGCCTTACAGAGACCAGATCTTAATTTTCCATATCCAACGGGTGGTTAGTATATTTTTTTTGGAACACAAGTTTTATATTTTTACTACTTTTTTGAAAGGAAAAAATAATTTGTTTGTTTTAATTACAGATAAATATTACGTTGTTGATGCCGGATATCCAAATACTAGAGGGTATCTTGCTCCATACAAAGGCACAAATATTCGTTATCATTTACCGGATTTTCGACGTGGACACTCGGCTGCTGTTCGTGAACCTCGTGGACCGAAAGAGAAATTTAACTATCTCCACTCATCATTGCGAAATATCATTGAACGAACTTTTGGAGTGTGGAAAGCTAGGTGAGTGTTATTAAGAGACATGCATGTTAATTACAAGTATAAGAACCAAGTGAAAATTGTGATAGCATCGATGGCGATCCATAACTATATTAGAAAGTTTGGTAGGTTTGATGAAGCATTTAATAGGGCACAACAAGAATCCTACAATCCCATACGAGGTGATACTAGTAGTGAAGTTTATGAAGAAGGTCCAAGTACACGTCGCACGAGTGATGATGATTTATATATGACAGCGATACGAGATATCATTGCACAAGATATAAACACATTGCGAAGACGAATGTAACATTATCTATGATATTTTTTATGCATTATTTATAATTTGTATGAACATTTTTTAATGGTATAATAAAAAAATTAAGAATATTTAAAAGAAATCTATATTTTATATTTTCTAATAAAATGTTTATAAAATTATAATATGTGTTTAAAAAAGAATTGTTAAGTAGAAAATAGTATAGATATATTAGTAAATAATTGTAATTATATAAGCATGTCTTTTTAGTCATTTTAGTCATTTTACATGTAAAAATTAAACCAAACACCTTTTAAAAACAACTTTTGACTTTTGCTTTTCAAAAGATAATCCAAACACATTTTTTAAAACATCTTTTATAAAAAAGTCATTTTACAAAAAAGTCATTTTTGTAAAAGTCATTTTACAAAAAAGTCATTTTACAAAAAGTACTCCCAAATAAACGAAAGCAGTAGGCAAGTCGATTGAAAGGAACACGAAGCAGTCGCGAGGCAAAAACGAAATCGAAGGCGAATTCGATTTGGGGTTTTGATCCTCTCCTGATCGGAGTAAAAAGAAAGAAACACGAACACAAACAGATCAGGGAGGTGGGAGGGTGGTTCGATGGTGGCAAATCCTTCGAGTGGGGGGTAGTCGACCTCCGGTGGCCCCTTTGTTGTTTAATCTTCTTCTGGTTGAGAGAGGGAAAAAGAGAAACATGAATGGAAACAGATGACGGTATTGATTGGGAAATCTCCACCGACTCTTAGCTTGATCAGAGAAGAAGGACGAAGGCGTCAGCAGGAGCTGTCGTCTACTGTGATGGAAGCAAGGGGCTGCTCCGGCAGCGGATCGCAAAGGGGAAGAGGGAAAACCGTTAGTCCCGTGGTGGTTCTATGATGTTCAATAGATGAAGAAGACGAAATCAGCAACAGTAAGGGTCGGATGGAGGCTCGCCAAAACTGGTTAGCTCACCGGTCCTTCTTCTTCTCCACTTCGTTGGTGCCAAACAAAAGGGAGAGAATGAGATCAGTATAGTCGCCATAAGGGGGTGTTTGGGTGGTTTCTTTGAGTTCACAGGGGTGTTTGGATTGCTTTTCAAATCTATAGGAACAATGGAGGAAAGAGAGAGTTTATTGCCTCTTTGATTTCACCGTAAAAATTACACCTTCTGGTGTTTTATTTACAGTTAAACGGAGAAGAAGAAGCGGAGGAGGGGATTGAGAGTTTTAGTGGGGAAGAGTGAGAAAGGGATGTATGAGTGTGCAAAATGATAAAAATATATATATATATATATATATATATATATATATATATATATATATATATAATCTGATTTGCAAGGATTTTGTAGATTGTATATCATCTTAGTTGTACAAAAATCAAAATTTTAAAGATATTTTATGCAAAAACAATCAAATGTTGTATATTTTTATGCTATAAATCCCGACTCTCGATTCTCGTGTCATCAAATCGTTTCATGAAATTTTTCTGAAAATCCATACTTATTGTTTTGGTCGCGGTGATTCCAGAAATGCAGACAGAATTCAATTCCTGTATACCAAACTCCACGAATTAACGTTTAAAGTTTTGCGATTAATAGGCTCGGATTCGATGGATTTTACGAATCTATATTTGGTCGAGGTTAAAATATTATAAAAATATAATAAATAATAGACCGTAGTCTGAATTCAAAAGCGTGCTCAAAAGTGATTTTCGAGGTTCGTAGCTATTCCAGACGAAGTAGTGCACAGTTTGTTTCAGGAAAATCAGATAAATACTGATTTTTGTAACTTTAAAGAGGCGTAACTTTCTCATACGACCTCCGTTTTGAATGTTTTTTATATTTATGAAGTCAGGAGAACATAATCTATTCAAATATCTTATCCATATCTCTCAGATATATCTGATGCAAAAAATTATTTTTAACGTCACAAATAAATTAAATTTTTTGTGATTTCCGATTCGCTCTTCAATGATAGATGTTTTGAGATATTCTAAAAGAAATTATAAATATAATATTTTTAATGTATATTATAGACATAAAATTACACATAATTGGTCCTTAAGACATAGCGGTTCGCGGTGGTTTGTCCGCCGAACTCTGACCAATTTTTACTGGTTGTTACAAAAATACTAAGTAAAAATTTTTGTTTTCAAGTGAACCAAAACAACCATTCATTCATTACAAAATCCCATCAAAGTATAGAAATGTATCAACAGAACATCAGTGGATGCGATGCAATAACGTCGATCTCTTCCCCTTAAAACCGGAAGTACCTATAACATAAACATAAACCGTAAGCACAAAGCTTAGTGAGTTCCCAAAAATATTGCATACCATACATACATCGGGTCTCGCCCGACATTTATCGGACCCCAACTGAAATACATAATGGGCCCCAGCAAACATACATAACATGCAAGAGTCACAAAGACAATATCAATCCAATAACACCTAGTGTCCTACAGTATAGTGAGTAGACTCACCTTAATCGATAACATATAAGTCTCACACCCAAGTTGTTGGTACGAGAACCTCCTCACACTATACATATCCAATACAACCCTAATTAGCAATTAAGGTGATAATACATAATCAAGGTTCCATTACATCATTTCTCTCTCTCTCTCTCTCTCTCTCTCTCTCTCTCTCTCTCTATGGTAACAGACCATTTTACCCTTTCCAGGCTAAACCCTTCCAAACATGACCTAATGTCCCAAAGTGACCAAACATGCCTTCTAGTGCTACACCATATGTACACCATGCCTCTACGCCTTGCGTAAAGGGCTTAACAAAAATCACGAAGAATTTGTTGGGTTTTGATACGAAATAAAAGTTTGTTTTTCACAAAAACCGGCAACAAAAGACTTTAAAAATAACAAGTTTATTTTTAGTTCATAACAAAACCGAACCATCATGGATCCATTTATAGAGGTTAGAATGAAATAAAACCAACCATAAGATGTTTTAGAGATAACCTTTGAAGCCTTTGAACCTACTTTGTTTTGGGGTATTGATGAAGATAACAAAAGATCAAAGTGTATGATCTTCTTTACAAGTATGCACCATCAAGAGTAAGGCCCTTGGAATGCTAGTTCCTTCTTGTATTCTTGAGTGTCTTAACCCTTTAAATGCTTAACTCAATTAAGCACTAAATGGAACAACTCAAGTGTAGAGTCAAAATATCTTGTAATATGTCGAAGTCTGTGTATTTGTCACTTTCGTATGTTTTCTATGTATTTGCTAAGGCATCTTTTTAATGAAGCGTAGTGTCTAGCCTTAGTATTTTTTGTACTTTCATCCTCCTATAAATAGGAGCTGAACATAGAGTTGATACTAGAGTTTTCCATGTTTTACTATCAGTTTTGTACTCTTGTTCTCTGAAAGTAATATGAGCTAAACCAGACTTTATTTACTTTTTGTGTTCATCTTTTACTCTGATTTGATTCTCATACTCGATTAAACACAACTACAATTGGTATCAGAGCAGGAATCAATACAGCGAAGATCTGATTTTCAATTGAATCTCTAGTTTTTGAGTCACGAGTTTGTCTCAAAAGTTTCCGCACTCTTTGATTACGAAAATCATCTCTGATCTACAGTTTTGATTTGATTCTGCGTTTGAATTGTATAATCGAGTAATCGTTTTTGAGTTTCTGATCAATTCATTCATTCAATTTCAAATTTCTTCAAGTTCTTCTGAAAAATCTCATCCGTACGTTAATGGCGAATTTCAACAGGAACACGATGAATTCATTTTCTCATCTGTTAGGATCTTCTACGAAGATTCCTATGTTGATTACAGAGTACTATGATCAGTGGGCTGATCGAATGGAGGATTACTTGAACGGATTGGACGGGGAACTCTGGAGCTGCATTACAGGAATCGCTCAACCTCCATCGAATGTTCAAAATATTGGATCATCTGGATCAGCGCCTGCAGTTACTGATCAATCCATCAGGCTGAAGAACAACGAAAAGCATTGTTTGAGAGAATTGTTAGGTGCCTTGTCACCTGTTGTTTACAATTACATCCGTGGTTGTAAAACTGCAAAGGAAATTTGGAACACTCTTAAGGAAAAATATCAAGGAAGCGATCATAGTAATGAACTGGTCTATAGATGCAATCGAAGTTTACTATGATCGTCTTAATGAAAAATATCAAGGAAATTTGTAAACTGAAGATAAATTCTGTTAAGTAGTGTCTTGTGGAGCTGAAAGAGTTCAGACAAAAAGAGAATAAAACAATTGAAGTTTACTATGATCGTCTTAATGAACTGATCTATAGATGCAATCGTTATGGAATCATAAGGTCATCAATGGAGTTCAATCTCACTTTTGTGATGGGACTTCGTAAGGAATGGAGAAGTGTCAGCATGATGGTGAAGAATCAACAAAGCTTCGATACTTCGTCTCTGAATGATTTGTATAATCAGTTGAAAACTCACGAAAATGAAGTGAATGAGATAGCTGAAGAGTCGAAACTTAGTTTGGGAGGTCCTTTAGCTCTTGTTTCGAAAGTGTCTGAGAAAAAAGCAGTTGAGAAAGATGATTCTGATGAAGAAGGCTTTCTAATGATATCTGATGATGAAGCGATTGCTTTTTACTCGAACAACCGAGTTAAAAAGTTTTTCAAGAAACCTTTCAATCCCAAGGTGAAGCAGAGTGATGTGAAAGGAAGTTTCATTAATAAGTCTGTGGGTGAGGAGAAGAAGAAATTCGAGAAGAATGATGTGAAGGCAACTGAAGCCAAAATTGAGAAGAAACTTAAGGGAGATTCGGGTATTGACTGTCATTACTGCAACGGAGCAAATCATTTGGCAAATGATTGTATGATTCATAAGAAAGAAGAGAAAAAGAATAGGGTCAAGGACGAAGCCTATTATGTTGAAAGATTGGAAGAAGTTCGTACAAAGGCGAAAGGGATGTCTTTGGTTGCACGAGGCGAAGGTGAGGAAGATGGCACGTATCAGATCTGGTCTTAAGGATCTGATGACGAAAAGATGCGTAATCCAACGCATGGGGCTATGTTTGCACAATTTGAAGATGATGAGGACGAAATGGTGACTGGTCGTTGTTTCATGACCAAATCAGGAGAAAAATCACCGATGAAAACCATGGTACGTTCTGTACTTCAATCTTTTAATATTCCTTTACAAGCTTATGATTCTGAAATAATTACTTTCGATGATACTGTTGCTTATTTCGTTACTATTGTTGTATGTGCTAGTAACGAAGCTAAGAAACTTAGTACACAATTGCTAGAGACCCAAAAATTGCTAGATTCGAAACGAAGCAGAGTAGATTATTTGGAATTGCTATTGAATAACGTGAATAATGATAGGGAATGTCTAGATAATGAAGTTCGGATGTTACTTGCTCAGCGAAACATTTACTGTAATTCAGCAAAAAGATTATATGCTAAATTGACTTCATTGCATCAATCATCTGACATTAGCAAAGAACAACATAGGAATTTATTGCCTTTTCTTACTTTTGAAAGAGAGAAGATTGATAGCTTGTCTTATGACTGTGAGAAAACCATAGCAGAATTTGATAAAGTTCCAGATAATCGATTTGCTTATAGTATTGTCATGATAGATGAATATTTGAATGCTGATGAGCTTTTTGAAATTGTGAATGATACCTTAACTAAAAGTGAACAAATCAAAATTTTGAAAAGAACTGAGAATTTGAAACTTGACTCTCAATCTAATTTTGCTGATATCGATGATAATTCTGATAGTTTTAGCGAAATCAGTGAAATTGAGGAGGAGGAAAGTATCGATTGTTCTCAGTTATCTGTCATTAATGTCACATCTATGTCAAAAGGTAAAGAAATTTGTGATGATTCGATGGTTGAGGATAACACTCATAGACCCTCTACTTCGAATGT